AGAGAAAAAAAAAAAAAAGAAAGAAAAGAAAAAAAATTGTGGCCACCTGTTTCTCTCTTTACGACCAGAGAAACTTAACAAGTCACTTTCCCTGATGTTTGGTTGGTGACAATGCTGAATGATACAAGGAGTTCTATTTTGAGCCAAGTGTTGCATTTTAAACCAAGGCTTCCCTGAGGTGACAAAACTGCAAGGACAGTCCTGCCTTTGCCTCTACTGGTGTCTTTCCATTTTACCTTATGTTTCCAGATCTCTTAGGATCCCCTCAACACACTTGCAAAATTCCCTTTGAATTTAGAATTTGAGAACTGCCAAGTTTTAGCCTCCTGGTTCCCTTGCCATGGTGTCATCCTGTCATCACCTTCTCACCTTATCCTCATTGTTTAGTGTTCTTCCATCTTCGTTCCTATTATTCTCAGATTTCTTTCTTTCTTCACTGGGTTACAACTACCTTGGTACATAAGGAAGAGGGACCCTAGAAGTTGCAAGTTGCTTGTGCCTTCTGACCGTATATAAAATAGTGGTTAAACCTCCAATTTTAGCCACAAACACCCCGAAGCAGAGTGGGGAGGAGCTTGTGACTAGCAAACACTGCTTGATGTCATCATAAGAAAGACCCAGGAACAGGGAAACCAGCTGAGGTTTGCACCATCTGCCTGTGAGTCAAAAGAATACCGAGAGAAAGTGTGCATAGAAATCTGTTTAGTGAATTTCCAGAATTTGCTCTGGAAAGAATCAAGAAAGGAGAACTTTCTTGATTCATAAGCATGGGATATGGAAAAAGTTTGGCTGGTGGTAGGATTAATTCAGTTTGGGAAGAGAATGTAACAGTGACCCTTATGGGTAGACAGACAAGGCTGCCATCTATTCAGGACAACAGGAAGACATTAAATCCTAAATGATGTTTTTACCAAATCCTTTAAATTCTTTCTTCTTTTTAGAGAGAGAGTCTCACTCTGTCACCCTGGATAAAGTGCCCTGGCATCACAGCACACAGCAACCTCAAACTCCTGGGCTCAAGAGATCCTCTTGCCTCAACCTCCCACATAGCTGGGACTATAGGCGCCCACCATAATGCCAACAATTTTTTTTGTTTTTAGTAGAGACAGGGTCTCACTCTTGCTCAGGCTGGTCTCCAACTCCTGAGCTCAAGTGATCCACCTGCCTCAGCCTCCTAGGGTTCTAGGATTACAGGCATGAGCTACTGTGCCTGGCCATGAACTACTGGTTTTTAGTAAAATATAAGTTCCTTGATTACTAAAGATATCATTTGTGTTCATGAGGAAAAGGATAATATTAACATCTTAAAGAGTAAAAGGTTTTCAAATTCTTTCCAGAGAGAGAACAAGAGAGAAAACTAGAACATCAGAGACCTAAGATGGTTCACGGGTAAACAACAGCAACAACAATAACAACAACAAGACATAGAGGTGATAGAATTCTGCCAACAGGGGAAGAGTCCAGAAGGAAATGGCTAAGGCCAAAAACAATCACCTGAAACATAGACCTGGAACCTTTCCTAGGTGAAAGTTATGGAGTAAAATAAGACTTTTTTTTTTTTTTTTTGAGACAGAGCCTCAAGCTATCCCCCTGGGTAGAGTGCCATGGCATCACAGCTCACAGCAACCTCCAACTCCTGGGCTCAAGCGAGTCTCCTGCCTCAGCCTCCCAAGTAGCTGGGACTACAGGCACCCGCCACAATGCCCGGCCATTTTTTTTGGTTGCAGCCATCATTGTTGTTTGGCGGGCCCGGGCTGGGGATTCGAACCCGCCACCTTAGGTGTATGTGGCTGGCGCCTTAGCCGCTTGAGCCACAGGCACCGAGCCAAATAAGACTTTTATAAAGACAAGGAGAGAAAGAATAGAAAGCAAGTTAGAAATATTGGTCAACACATCAGGAAGCATTAAAAAGTGTGTGTGTGTTTATATACACACACATATATACATATATATGTACACATACATATATAAAAATTGTTGGCATTGTAGTGGGCACCTGTAGTCCCAGCTACTTGGGAGGTTGAGGCAAGAGGATCTCTTGGGCCTAGGAGTTTGAGGTTGCTGTGTGCTATGATGCCTACTGGCATATATATATGTATGTGTATATATAAAAACACATATATAAAGCATAGAGAACATAAGAACAATAAGATATGGCAGAACAAGGGGATTTGATTATGCAAAAGATACGTGAGTGAAATATGAAACTTCACTTACCAAGACTGTTGGACCTGGAAGGGGCAGAAAAGAAAAAGGGACCATTCCTGGAGGGGAATGAATACATCTGGGATGTTGAGAAATCAATAGCAATGTTGTAAAATGAGGGATAGAATAGAAGTTGGCAGAAGAGAGAAATTTGAGCAATATTGGTACTTAATTTTGAAAGTGAGGTAAAAAAGCATGAATTCAAGTCCTTCTTATAAACATAAGAGAAGAAGAAAAAGAACCAACCTGACCAAAGACCACTTTTTCTGAGAAAGAAATTGGGGGGAAAAAAAGATTTTAAAATGTTTAATTTGAAATATACTTTCCATCATACCAGGATTTTGGTGCTTTCTGGTGGGAATATCACAACATGTAGTGGGAGGATTGAGTTCAAGGAGAGAGTCTTAAAATGATTCTTAGAAATTCTGTGCCTTCTCTATAGTGGCTACAATATGCATTTAATATATCTACTCATAAATGCGTGCATTTAATTCTAGAGATGAGGTTGAATAGAGATTACATACTTTGGAGCTTTTTCTAGGATTTCTATTTTATCAGTTGTACAAATCCCATTAAACTAAATTATTTCTTAACAATAAGAATTTGATCTTCATTTAGCTTGTTTTTTCAGCATTCTAAAAGAAATCCACCCCCTACTGTCATCTATGACTTCTTGTTCCCTAGTTTCTATCTGAATTCCATTAGCTTTTTTTTTTTTTTTTTGCAGTTTTTGGCCAGGGCTGGGTTTGAACTCACCACCTCCAGTATATGGGGCCAGCACCCTACTCCTTTGAGCCATAGGCGCTGCCCAATTCCATTGGCTTTTATAGAAAATTATTGAGTTATTTAAGAAGGAGAAGTCCACAATATGTAATTTGTCCCTTACTATAATAGGATTTGTTCTGCTGTCCCCATTTAGGCTTTAAGAAATATGAATAATGCATTTACATATAGAGAATCAGAGAATTGAAAGAAACCTTAAACTAAAACATATTTAACCTTCTTATTTTATTTTTATTTATTTATTTATTTATTGAGACAGAGCCTCAAGCTGTTGCCCTGGGTAGAGCTCACAGCCACCTCCAACTCCTGGGTTTAAGCAATTCTCTTGCCTCAGCCTCCCAAGTAGCTAGGACTACAGGTGCCCGCCACAGCACCTGGCTATTTTTTGGTTGTAGTTGTCATTGTTGTTTGGCAGGCCTGGGCTGGATTCAAACCTGCCAGCTCTGGTGTATGTGGCTGGCACCTTAGCTGCTTGAGCTACAGGCACTGAGCTGTAACCTTCTTATTTTATTTGTTTGTTTTCTGTTTTTTTTTTCTTTTGGCCAGGGCTGGGTTTGAACCCACCACCTCCGTCATATGGGGCCAGCACCCTACTCCTTTGAGCCATAGGCGCCACCCTGTAACATTCTTATTTTAAAGATGAGGAAATTAAATCAGGACCCAATAAAAAAAATGACTGATCTAAGGCTACATGGTTACAGCTAGAGCCAAGATAAGATTGTGTGTTGTCTGAATATTTTCTTTCACTCTGTCATATTAACTATTAGGTAGGCTTTCTGCCTGCATTTTAAAAATTTCAGGTCTGAATGCCCTTATTAGGCCCCAAATCAGGACATACCAGAACCCATTTGTACAATCAAATCTACTGTGCACTTGCTAAGTGATAAGAGTGAAGAAAGTAGCAGCAACTTTAGCCAATAGTATGGTTTCACATTAAATTGTCCAGTTTGCTTTGTGGAGGTAGGCTAACCCCAGTGCTGCCATAAATGAATAGGTAAATGAGATTGACTTTCCAGTCCTACTTCCTGATGAACACTTCCCTGACAGGAAAGTGTAAGTCTAAGTTCTCTGTCCGGCATAGTCCCAGCCTCTAAGCTTAGCAGAAGATAGCATTTTGGATCTTTATATACATATATTGCTAATAGTATTTTATAATTCTTTATTCTGTTGGAGAATCTTCTAGGATTATAAAAATTACCATGATCCTTCTAGTTTTGCTTTTTGAGACAGAGTCTTACTCTGTCACCCTTAGTAGAGTACCATGGCATCATAGCTCACAGCAACCTCAAACTCTTGGGCTCAAGTGATTTTTTGGCCTCAGCCTCCTGAGTAGCTGAGACTACAGGTGCCCACCAGAACACCTGGCTATTTTTTAAGAGACAGAGTCTCATTCTTGCTCAGGCTGGTCTCGAAATCCTGAGCTCAAGCAATCCACCTGCCTCAGCTTCCCAAAATGCTAGGATTATAGGCGTGAGCCCCCATGCCCGGCCACATCCTTCTCATAAAGAACACTTGCCAGACAAATTTGAGGGCAACCTGGCAAAACAGTTCAAATACGAGGAAAGAGGATCATGTAAACAATAAGGAGTTAATCCAGGAAACTCTTGAAAGGAAAATAAGTAAAAATAGACAAGGATCACTTCTTCTACCCTAAGATCTGGGTCAGACAGATTCAATAGTAAAGGGTATTAATGAAGTTTATTCTCCCCTAAAATTGTATGCAGAGTGTTTGTATATAGGCCATTTGGTCATCATTTATTCCACTGTGTCTATCATATTGAGAAGCAGTAAAACCATGCAATCATATACATTGACCTTGTATTTTAAGTATGAGAAAATGAATAAATGTTATCAGTCTGGGCAGAAAGTTAGAGAGTAGGAGCAAAAGCTGGACACTATGAAGAGACAGGTTAAGAAATACTGTCTATGGGCTAGCTGACAATGGCTGGAGAAGAAGGAAAGTCTCCTTCCTTTCAACCACACATTCTTTCTTCTTTCTTCTTCCTTGAGGCTCACAGACCACCGGGTCTCTGGAAATCCATGTTTTCACAGGGAGGAAGTCGGAAGTAGTTAGAGCGACGAAGTCTCCTTGGGGGCAGACCAGCCATCTGACGGCAAAGTTCATCTAGGAAAGATGCAAGCACATGGGATGAGGATGCAGAAGGATAAGCAACCGGGTTCTTGTTTCAAGGGAAAGAGAAGACTTTGTGGTGAAAAGGTTGAAGAGAAAAACACCTGGGTTAAAACCTCTGCTTGGCCACTTAGTAGTTATTTACTGCTTACTAGAAAGTGTCTTAACTTTTATGAACCTCAGTATTCCTTTCCGTAAAGAATATATTTGAGAGTATTAAAATGAAATAATGTATGCAAAGTATGCACAGGTGGCCAGTAAATGTTAGTTTCCTTTGTATAGGTAGCTCCCAAATCTTCTAAACGTGGATCTATTACATAGAAAAATGAAGTCCAGTCATTCAATACACATTTAGGTGTTTACTATGGGCAAATAGCCAACTTTAGTAAGTCCCCTGAGATACCTGAATGTGCCTAGAGTCCCAAAGACTCATCCCCAATGTCAAGGTGCTTCCCTTGCAGGTGGCTTGCACAGAGCCAATGGGGGCAAGCCGCAAGTTTCCTTCTGCGAAATTAACTACAGCTTTTACTCAGGGACTCAGTGCAGAGTGAGCTGCTGAGTCAAAAGTGGCTGTGACTGTGGTGTCTTCACCAACCGCAGCCATCGTTCGGGGCTGGCCAGGGGGAAGGTGAGAAATGTTTTTGTTCCCACTGAGCATGGTCAATAACCACACACTTTGGACTCTTGTAATTGTTCCTATAACATCTTTTTACCTTCCTTCACGTCTGAAATTTCACAATAAGAAATGTAAATGGTTCTTGGAATTGGTGAACTGTTTATAATGTACCTGATTTCTAAATGTCTCAACTATTTTTTATTTTTAGCTCTTATCCAAACCTTACTGTCTCCAAATTAGTGTGGGGTATGGGCATGGCTGCCATGATAGCTGACTTAACCTTTTCTCTAGAACCCCAGTGAGTGATCTTTAAAACAGCCAGAGCTTCAGAAACCTCTCTGTACAGAAGAGGTTGGGATGGGGGGTTACAATCTAGTTTGAAACAATTTATAGGTACTTTTCTTAGCCCCCCTGCAAAACCAGACTTTAGATATATCAACTTCATGTCACTATTTACCCCTTTCATAAAATTTTTTTGCCAAGGGCAGCCCTATGGCTCAATGGGTAGGGCACCAGCCCCATATGCCAAGGGTGGTGGTTTCAAACCTAGCCCAGCCAAAAAGCAACAGAAAAATAGCCGGGTGTTCTGGCAGGTGCCTGTAGTCCCAGCTACTCGGGAGGCTGAGGCAAGAGAATCATGTAAGCCCAGGAGTTGGAGGTTGCTGTGAGCTGTGTGATGCCATGGCACTCTACCGAGGGCCATAAAGTGAGACTCTGTCTCTACAAAAAAAAAAAAAATTTTTTTGCCAATAAACACCCAGACATCATCTTACCTTTCATAGCTTCGTGTTCCTTACAGACAAGACGAGAGCAGATCTCATTATTGATGATGTACATACGTCGTAAACTGCACAAATCCCAATGTCATGGTCAAGAAAGGAGATAAAAAATCCTTGAGAGAAGAAAGGAGCCTACATCTTCCTTCTTTCCTTCCTTCCTTCCTTCCTTCCTTCATTCCCTCCCCTCCCTTCCTCTCCCCTCTTTTTTTCCCTCCCCTCACATCCCTCCCTCCCTCCCTTCCTTCCTTTGTTCTTTCTTTTCATTGCAATCTTGAGCTACTAGTTCAAGCACTCTCCTGTCTCAGACTCCCCAGTAACTGGGACTACAGGTGTAAGCCACCACACCCAGATAATTTTTCTAATTTTTTATAGAGACAAGGTCTTGCTATGTTTCTCAGTCTGGTCTCAAACTCCCGGCCTCAAGTGATCTTCCCACCCTGACCTCTGAAAGTGCTGGCATTACAGGCATGACCCAGGATGCCTCTTCAACTATTATATTTTCCACTCTTTTCTATCCTTCTCCAACTGGATTTCCTTAAATATTTCAGACTTCCTTTTTTTTTTTTTGAGACAGAGTCACATTTTCTTGCCTCTGGTAGAGTGCTGGGGTGTAACATATCACAACAACCTCAAACACTTGGGCTCAAGTGATCCTCTTGCCTCAGCCTCCCAAGTAGCTGGGACTACAGGTGCCTGCCACAACACCCAGCTATTTTTTAGAGACAAAGTGTTGCTCTTGCTCAGACTGGTCTCAAACTTGTGAGCTCAAGCAATTCACCTGCCCCAGCCTCCCAGAGTGCTAGGATTACAGGCTTGAGCCACCACACCCAGCCCTTCATACTTCTTTTTATCCTCAATAGAAGGTAGAAGATGAAATAGCATTAATTACT